AAAAAAAAAAAAAAGGCCCTGAGCGAATTGGCTTTTGTTCTTTCTCAGTCCCAGAGTCCAGCCTCTTTTCAAGAATGATCCCAGTCATGATGTTCAGGAGATGATAAGAATAAGCAGCTCTATGAATTCTTTAACCAAAGTCAGTGGGAGAAATAGCAAGGTTGCACCAACTTTAATATTTAGATTCTGTGTAACCATTTTTATACCTCATTCTTCGTGGTACAAAACCTGGCCTGATCTCACAAGGTTGCTTTCTGCCTCTAATTGCTATTTACTTTGTTTGCACATGCTGGTTTGTACTATAGTGCTCAACACGATTACCATAAGGAGGAATCTTACCCAGAGATTTTGTGTGCTCAGCTCAGCCCCTCCCTTTGGGGTCGAGAACCTAGACCTTCCATACTTCCCTCCTGCTTCTTCTGTTTCCATATGACAGCTCAGCAGCACACACTTCTTTCCGAGTTCCTGGACTTCACTCATTTTCTTTTTATTTCTACCATCTAACCCTCATGATTTGCCTCCTTCAGTACAGCAAGTTCTACTTCTGATCAAAATTGCCCACTCAACATGCAGCCTGAGTTTCCCTCCAGCCTCATGTTGCTATCCTGCACCCCATGTGGTCTCAGCTGTACTGGTCACTTGTTCCTCTCCGTTCCCATCGTCATTCACATTCAAAACAAAACGGTGAGGATGGAAAACCCGTAGGTGTCTGTGAAGAAAGCCAGGAGTCTTCCCTGGTCACTACTCACCTGCAGTGCCAGACGCCCCTCCTGTGCCCACACACAGCATCCTTCTTAGGTTAGAATTTGTTGTGAACACATTTGACTCCCGGAAGACAGCATCCATCTGGTCTTTGCTTTCCTGTCCTTATTTTGGTGCTCAGATACATTGACCAAGGATCCTTGCTTTACATTTCATGACCCTGAAAGTCTTCTGCCTAAGATGAAATTTCTAGTATGGTGTGATTCTCCTTCAGAGTGTGCTCTGACCTCGGTAAGGAATGGCCCCTGCAATCAACAGCCTCCTTTTCCTACCCCTTCCCTCTTCACTGCTGTATAAAGTTCATCCTAATAATCCCTAGAAGTAATTCCTTACAAAGCAGGAGATTTGGCAGCCACTGTATGTTTTAGAACCTGCCAAGCCAGAAGTGTTTAAGGTGGCTATTAATGATTTTGCAAATGCCATTTATACCAGAGATACAGCAGCATTTATCTGGCTTTCTTGGCTGTAAAAGAGTCTCAGCCAAGCTGAAGCTGATTACATTGGCCATGCAACAAAGGTAATTTATTCATCACACACAAAACCTCCCGTTAACTAAAATCAGATTTCTAAGTGCTGATTGAAAGGAGAACTGATATATCAGGACACAATTACCCTCTGGACCAAAAAGGCTACTCTTAAGGTACTTTTTAATTGTTTTCATTCCTAAACCTAATTATTGTTAGCTTTGCAGGTGGCTAATAATTAACTTATTCATAGAACATTAACCTATATTTTTTGCCTTCACTACTCCCGTTCTAATTCATATTTTGCATGTCTGGGGGCTTAATATCTATTCAAAGTCTCCCCAGATTTCAGGATGGCTTTTATTAAAAACACCTTATAAAGCAGGGGCTCAGCTGAATTCCTTCCCTGTGAGGATACTGATTTCTGAAGTGAACTAAGAACTCTGGAGAGTTCTTCACATTCTTTAATTTATAGATGTGTCTCCCCAGCTTAAAATGGCAGTTGCCTCTTCTGCAAATTCCAGTGGTCACCCATCACCATCTTGGTCCACCCCAAACCCAAGACTGTAAGATTTTCTGCCCTCCTGCTGTCAACTACTTTAAGTGAATGCCAAGCCAAGGGGACTTCTCTTCTTGGCTTTCTTCATAGACACCTATGGGCTTTCCACCCCCATAGTAAATCCCCTGACAGTTTTCTCTTCTGGCTCTTCTGGCTTTCTCTTCTTTTCTCTTCTGGCTCTTCTCATCTACTTGCAAAGTAGATGCTTCAGAGGGAGTTAATGTTGTGCTCTCCATGTCTGTGTCCGTTGTGTGTGTAGTGATGGTGGTGACGTGAGGAAGAGGCATGCATGTGCTTTGAAAGACTTGGTACAATTTTAAGTTTCCTTCGCTTGCTCATAGCTAATTCAGGAACCAAAGACTGAGGGACTGTGAAGGGCTGAGAAGGGGTGGGTGTGTGTGTGTATGGCAGCATTTAAATGTTGTCTTCCTGTTACAAGTGCTAACTGGTGGAAACAGACTACTGAGAGGGGTGCACTCACTCACTGTGTCCATTTTTCTCCTCTCCCCACCTTTTCCCATCCCCTAATGCCACTGACTTACTTTGGGGAAAGTAAGCGTGGTATTTATTAGACATACCTCTCAAAGCATCCAGTTTGATCTGCACAGGTGAGGTACTGGTTTTCTGGTAGCTCCAGCCCCAACACCTTTTTACATCCCCTTCCAAGGAGAAAGCCCACCAGTGGGACGCTCCAGCTGATGGGATGTGACATTCCTGTGCACCAGACTCCTGCTTATTTTGCCCACTGTAGCCTCCATACTCAGACTAACACTGCTTCGGATCTTGGGTTCTTTTGTACCTCAGAATTTGAGGAGGTGAAGAAATCTAATTTCTTCAGGAAATCTTTAAAGGAAAAAAGTTTCTAGTGGGCTGTTAGATGAATCTTGTTCAGTGTGTGTGTGTGTGTGTGTGTGTGTGTGTGTGTGTGTGTGGACACAGAAGCAACCTTTCAGTTTCACATACTGACTGTGGATGTGACTAACCATTTATCTGGCCTGAAAAGAGTCCTAGCTAGTTCATATGGCTGAGGGGATAGGGTGGGGAAGATCTGTTTCTCTCTGAATTTCTTTCCTTCCCTTTAAAGGCATGTTCTCTAGGAATTTGTCTTCTATCTCTGTCACTGGTAGCTGACTCTCCTTTTTTCTCAGGGAGGAAGATGAGTACTCAGAACTGCGATCAGAACTCAGCCAGAGTCAGCACGAGGTCAACGAAGACTCTCGAAGCATGGACCAAGACCAGACCTCTGTCTCCATCCCTGAAAACCAGTCCACCATGGTCACCGCTGACATGGGTGAGTCTGCCTGCCATTGCATGAAACCAGAGTTTGGTTTCTGGATTGTAATGGGAATTTTAGAAATATGAGGCAGCCGGAATTAAAATTTAATTAGTCAAGGAGTTTGGTGAGTAGATGAAGGCATGTCCATTTGAAGGTCCCTTATATGCTCCTTTATTGGAACTGAAGAGCTGAATTAGCTTTCTGCCCTGATATTTGTGATTCAAACATATGCCACCTCTATTTGAAAAATCTGGAAGTAAGGAAAAGGCTATTGTAGTGTTCCAAGTTCGAGTAAAATCTGAACCATGATGGCAGGGATGGGAAGGATGGAATGGGTGGCAACACATTATAGTGGAAGAACCAATCGTTTTTAGCAACTGTTGGGTAAGAAGGAATCTGAAATAACTCCAACATGTTGATCCTAAGTGACTAAGGACATGCTCATATTTCTTAGTCAGGAAGTTTGGTTGAGAAATGAGTTGGGAAATAGATACGTTATGTTTGAGGTTGTAGAGAAATGCCCATCTGGGAATACCTGGTATTTTAAACTGCAGGTCGTGACCTGATAGTGGATCTTGAGATTATATGAAAAATACTTTTAAAGTGAAATCATATAGGAAAAAAATAGAATGACAACGCTGCTTCATGAGACTTATTTGTTGAGTGTGTGTGTGTATGTATGTAGTAAGTTGCCAAACGAAACATTTCAGCTGTGGGCTGTAGTCAACCCACAAAATGTTGCAAAACCACTGGTCTGCTTGGAGATGCTTAACTGGATCTTTGGAGAGATTGGGGTTGAGGATAAAGTCTTTGAAGTTACGAGGTAAGGTGATCTCTGTGGTCCAAAGCGTGTGGGGTCAGAAGGAGGAGGAGCACCAACCATATCTTAGGAAATGGTCACATATAGGGGGGAGGTGGAGGAAAAAGGAGAAGGAGGTGTAAATATAGTGTAACTTTCTTGGAACCTAAAATTTCACTGGGGAGAGACTTTAATAGTACACATTTATATTCATTATAAAATTTAGGAACACAGTACCATGAGAGTTTATCAAAGGAATTTGATTCAGTTTAAGATTCTAGAATAGCTTCCTCTAGGAAGTGACATTTGAGCTGAGAGCTGGAGGGTAAGTAGAAATTAACCAAGTAAATGAAGAGATGCATTCAGGGGAGGGTGGGGGAAGTGGATGCATTCAAGGAGATGAAAAAAGCTCATCATGTATGGAGGGCCCAGAGGTGTGAGACGGAGGCTGGAGAGATAGGTAGGGGCCATAGCATGCAAGATATGATAGACCATGTGAGGAAGGTTGACCTATATTCAAGGATGCACAAGAAACCACTGAAAGGTTTTAGTAGTGGGGGAAGGGGGTGAGATGATCAGATTTGCATTTTGAATCAATCGTTCTGTTGTAAGAGAATTGGTGGATCAAGAATGAATGGGGCCTGGGTGGCTCAGTGGGTTAAGCATCTGACTTCAGCTCAGGTCATGATCTCACGGGCTGTCAGTGCAGAGCCTGCTTTGTATCCTCTGTCCCCGCCGCCCCCCACCCTTCCCCCACATGCGCTTGCATAACTGTGTGCTCTCACTCTCTCACTCTTTCACTGAAAAATAAACATTAAAAAAAAACAAAAAGTGGGGCGCCTGGGTGGCTCAGTTGGTTGGGAAACCAACTTTGGCTCAGGTCATGATCTCACAGTTTGTGAGTTCGAGCCCCACGTCGGGCTCTGTGCTGACAGCTCAGAGCCTAGAGCCTGCTTCGGATTCTATGTCTCCCCCTCTGTCTTCCACCTCCCCTGCTCACACTCTGTCTCTCTGTCTCTTAATAATAAATAAACGTTAAAAAAACAAAAAGTATGAATGGGGGAGGCCAGCTAGGAAACCATTGCTAATGTCTCAATGGGCACAATTATCTCTAGGATCAGGGTCGTGGTAGTTGAGATCCAGAAAGGCATAAAACTGGCAAGATCTGCTGAAGGAATAGAAACAGAGGGTGAAAGGAGAAAGTGTGTGTATGGAGATGTTCTCTAAGTGTCTGGATTGTACAATGGACGGATGATGCTGCCAGTCGCCAGCACGGGAGCACAGGAAAAAGAGCCAGGTGGTTTTGCTTCGAGTTTTGTTTGGTTTTCTTTTACTTGAGGGGATGGGAGTGTAGGGTGGAGGTCATATGTTTTGTGTGGGCATAAGTCTGAGGTGTCTGTCTCGAAGTCCGTGGGTGTAGATGCTTCAGAAGGCAGCAGGTATACATAAGAAGCCAAGAGGAGAGGTCTAGGCTGAAGGAAAGCAGTTAGGAGACACTGGGTTATTGCAGATCGTTGCTGAAGCAGTGGGAGGCCATGCATAGAGCGAGGAGTACAGGGAACAGGAGCCTGGGCTTTGGGGGCCACCAGCTGAAGAGAAGACTCTATAGAGCTCCTGGCAGGGACATGCCTCTCATCATTTTAGTCTCAGTTTAAATGCATCTCCTCTGAAAGCATCTCGTGAGCACCAGTCTGTGCACGTTCCTGAGTTGACTCTTCGCTGCCCCACTTGTTCCTTCTATTGAATTGAAATTTAAAAAAAAAAAAGTTTTTTTTATGTTTGTTCATTTTTGAGAGAGAGAGAAACAGAGCGTGAGCAGGGGAGGGGCAGAGAGAGAGAGGGAGACACAGAATCTGAAGCAGGCTCCAGGCTCTGAGCTGTCAGCGCAGAGCCTGATGTGGGGCTTGAACTCCTAGACGGTGAGATGATGAGCTGAGCCGAAGTCAGACGCTTAGCCGATCGAACCACCCAGGTGCCCTTCGAATTGAAATTTTAAATGATATATTTCTAGTTCTTTGCTTCACTGACTCTCCCACTAAACTCCACTGGGCAGAAGTATATTTATTCTACTAATAGAGTTCCAGAGCCCACCACCAGGCCTGGTACACGGTGTGTGTCCAGAGATACTTGCTGGAATGAACAAGTAAAGCAGTCGGTGAGTCCATCAAGCAGTCGGCCAGCCAAAGGTGTAGGAAAGAAACGAGGAGAGCCATGTTTAGGAAGCCAGCGGGGCAGAGAGAACTCAAAAAGGAAGGAAGAGGTCAGCAGGATGGATTGCTCCTAATGCCAGCAAAGTCACTGAGAGCTGTAAACTGAAACCGATGTGACCTCAACAGAAAAGGAGTGAGGAGTGGAGACACCTTCTAGGTCCTCAAGCTCTTGGCTTCAGGCTGAAACTGCCTCTCTAAACTCACCTGAACCCATATCCCAGTCCTTAAGTTAGAACACACACAATCTCCTGGGACCATCCCAGCTGTGGGCTCAAGTCCCACATGCTGCTCTATCAGCATCGGGGTCTCAAACCTTTGTGGTCCCAGGCTTCTGGACTCCGTCTTCCAGCCTTGGGAGTGGGACAGGTGCTGACGGCCAAGATGTTCCCATTCAAGCAAAGAGATGTGCCTATACTGATCCCTCCATTCATGTCTCTGAAGGTGTTTTATGAAATTAAATCAGTGCCCAATACTCCAACAATGTTGCTTAAGCAAAGTGGGGGAGTGGGGGGATAAACCTGCCTGAGTGGACCAGGCATCTTTCTGGTGGGGCTTCTCGGGGCTCCTGATGGAGCATTCAATAGCTCAGGCTGTCTGCCCAGGAACCAGTATCTGCCTGTCTGCGCTATGAGCTGGCTTCGTTTTTCCAAATCATTAATCTCAAATCCTTTCTTTTCATCCTTTTCCTCATTACAAATATATGTTTGTTATAGCCAGGGATCGTACTTTTGCTGATGGGACTGAGCTCCTGGTGGAAAGGACCCTGTCGATGCAATGCCTGTATGTGTTCTCTGCCCACACAGGCGGCCCTTATTCATCTGTTGAATAACTCACTGGGTGCTGTGCAAGGGGGATATGAGTCACAGGATCTGCCCTCAGATCTCTGTACTCTCACACTTTGTTCTCTCATACCCAGAGTAACATCCCGATTCCTGACCATTGACAATAGGCCCCCACAGAGCTGAGCATCTCCTGCCTCAGGCGGCCCCCTCCCTAACCATCCCTCGTTTTCCCCCAGCTGTGGCCACACTGGCCTCCTTGCTGCCCCTCACGCCTGACCAGCTCATCTTGTCTCCCTGCTCCTTCTGCCTGGAGTGCTCCTTCCCAGAGCCAACCCTCGGCTTCCTGTGCATGGCTGCTGGCCAGCCCCAGTCAGAGGGCCCTGGTGGAGCACTGTGGCCTTCCCTCACCCTCACTGCCAGGTGCTGTCCTCCTTTTCTGCTTTCATTTCTCCTCACAGCACTTAGTGCTTCCTGGTGACACAATGTATGTGCATTTATTTCACTGTGCATTACCAGTGGTTACCAGTCCCTCACACTGGAATCTAGAATGCAGGCACCACGAGGGCAGGGACTTCCGCTGTCCTGTGTGCCAGTATATAACAGTGCCCACACAGAGGAGGCCCCCAGTACTAAGCGTCAGGGAATGCCATCTTGGAGCTCACGGCTCTCCAGAGGATGCACGCAAGGAAACAGGGAATGACCAGCACTGAGGTAAGGGCCACAAGAGGAGGTTGACAGGGGCTCCTAGCAACACCCTTGGGCAAGAGCATCGGAAAATACATCCCAGAGGTCACATCTAGCAGAACTCGGGGGACAGGCGGGAACGATGCAGGTAAATAGCAGGAGGCAGGGGGAGAGCCTAGGAGGCAGAGGGCTGGCACCCGCCGGGTCCCTGAGGAGGGCAGGCACAGGGACATCAAGGAGGAGGAGCGCATCAGGGCTTCTGCAGAGTGCCGCCCCTGTGTGCGTTCATCGGAACTGGACGGCTGCCTCTTCTTAATCCTTTGCCATTTTCCAATTAAATGGCTTCAATAGGGGAAAAAGCTTCCATATATAAACACCGTTATAGGAAATCATTAAAAAGCAGCCATTTCATTATGGTTGCTATATTTGCAAACCTGCATTAGCAACCCAGAGGTTTTCTTGAGCCAGATTTTATAGGCAGAATTTGCTGCAGTATATTCACCAGTCTTCATTCAAGATAGCAGGAGTTAAGTCCAATCT